CCAAATATATGGCTTACCATTTAGTCTCTCTGTGTCTTTGGAAAAAGCAAAGTTTTTAATCTTTATGAAGTTGATATTTATTATTTTTCTTTTATACTTTGTTCTTTGGAGTGTCTTAAGAAATCTGTACCTAACCCAATGTCACAAAGATTCTATGCAGTGTTTTCTTCTGGAATTTAAAAGTTTTAATTCATACATTAAGATCTATGACCTATTTTAAGTTGATTTTGTATATGATGTAAAGGAAGAATTGAAGTACATTTTTTCCAAAGAGAAATCCAGTTGTTCCAGCACCATTTTTTACCTCCATTGGATAGCATTGGTAACTTTTGTTGAAAATCAAACTATACTACAAATCTGCAGTAATTCAAACAGTATGTTACTGGCATTAAAATAGACAAGTAGACCAATGGAACTGAAGAAAGAGCCCAGAAATAATACCCTGCATATACAATCAACTAATATTTGCCAAGGGAGCCAGAGCACTCAATGAGGAAAGGATAGTCTCTTTAATAAATGGTGTTGGAAAAAACAGGATATTCAGAAAAATAAAATTGAACCCCTATCTTATACTACTCACAAAAATTAACTTGCAGTGGATTGAAGACTTTAACATAAAGCCTGATACCATAAAATTCCTAAAAGAAAACATGGGGAAGAAGCTTCTTGACATCAGTCTTGGCAGTTATTATTATTATTTTTTGACATGTCACCAAAAGCACAAGCAACAAAAGCAAATATAAACAAGTTGGATTACATCAGACAAAAAAGCTTCCACACAGCAAAAGAAATAATCAACAAAATGAAGGCAACATATGGAACAGAGAAAATATTTGCAAACCATATATATATTAGATAAGAGGTTAATATCCAAAATATATAAAGAACTCATACAACTTAACAACAACAACAAAAACAAAAAACCCAGTTAAAGAATGGGCAGAGGAACTGAGCAGACATTTTTCTAAAGAAGAAATTCAAATGGCTAATAGGTACATGAAAAGATGCTCAACATCACTAATTATCAGAGAAATGGAAATCAAAACCACAATGAGATACTACCTCACAACTGTTAGAATGGCTGTCATCAAGAAGAGAAGAGGTAATAAGTGTTGGCAAAGATGTAGAGATAAGGGAACCCCTTTACACTGTTGATGGGAATGTAAATTAGTTCAGTCACCATGGAAAACAGTATGGAGGTTCCACAAAAAATTAAAAGTAGAACTACCATGAGATCCAGCAATCCCACTTTTGGGTATATATATCCAAAGAATGTGAAAACTGGGTATCCAAAAGATGTCTGCACTCTTATGTTGACTGCAGCATTACTTCACAATAGCCAAGATAGGAAAACAACCTAAGCATCCATCAATGAATGAATGGTTAAGAAGATGTGGTATACATATACAATGGGATATCATCCTGCCGCAAGAAAAAAGAAAGTGCTACCAACTGCGACAACATGGATGGACCCTGAGAATATTAAGCTGAGTAAGATAACCCACATAGAGAAAGAAAAATATTTTATGATATTACTTATATGTGAAATGTAATAAGCTGAATTCATAGAAAAGGAGAGTAGAATAGTGGTTACCAGGGGCTGGGGTGTGGGGGAATTGTGTAGATAGTGTTAGAGGGTACAAATGTGCTACTAGTAGATAACTAAGTTCTGGAAATCTAATGCACAGCATAGTGACTTATCTTTTCTCTTTCTTGATGGTATTACTTACAGAGAAGTTTTTAATCTTAATGAAGTCAATTTATCTATTTTTCTTTCATCACTTGTGCTTTGTGTCATATCTAAGAAACCATTCCCTAATTTAAGATCATGAAGATTTACACTTCTTGAGGTTTGTAGTTTTAACTCTCATATTTATGTGTTTGATCAATTTTGAGTTAATTTTTGTGTATGTTGTGAAGTAAAGGTCCAGTTTCATTCTTTTGCATGTGGATATCCATTTGTACCAAGACTAGTTGAACAGGCTACTCTTTCCCTGTTGAATGATCTTGGTGCTCTTCTTGAAAATCAACTGACCATATGTGTATGAATTTATATTTGGACTCTCAATTCTATTCCATTGATCTATATGTTATTCTTATGCTAGTTCTACACTGTCTTGATTGTTGTTTCTTTGCAGTATCATTTCTTTGAAATTGAGAAATACCAGTCCTTAAATTTCTTTTTCTTTATTTTAGAGATTGTTTTGTCTCTTCTGGATGCCTTGCATTTCCATGTGAATTTTAGGCTTAACTTTTCCATTTCTGAAAAGCCAATTAAGATTTTGAGTTGAATACACAGATCATTTTGAAGGTGTCTTATTCTGCTCTGGCTGCCATAACAAAATACCATTGATTTGGTGTCTTAAACAATAGGAATTTATTTTCACAATTATGGAGACAAGCTAAAGATCAAGGTACTAGCAGGATTGGTATCTGGCAAGAAATCTCTCCTTGGGTTGTAGATGGCTGCCTTCTCACAGTGTCTGAACGTGGTGGGGGTTGGGGGGTCAGTGGGGAGAGGGAGAGGAGAGAGACAGAGGGAGGAAGAGAGATTGAGAGATCTTCCTCCTTTCAAAAGGCCACAGTTCTATACCTGATTAGACATGACTTCATTTAACCTTACTACCTTCTAAAGACCCTAGCTTCAGATATAGTCACACTGGGGTTCGAGTTTCAACATGTGAATTTTGTGGGAACACAATTCAATTTATAGCAGGGAACATAACATCTAAATAATATTAAGTCTTCCAATCCATGAATATGGGATATCTTTCCATTTATTTAAAAATTCTTTAATTTCTTTCAACATTGTTCATAGTTTTCAGTGTACAAGCCTTGTTCTTCATTTGTTAAATTTTTCCCTAGTATTTTGCTCTTTTTGATTACAACTGGATTGTTTTTGTAATTTCATTTCAGATTTTCATGCTAGTTTATAGAAATAAAAGTGACTTTCGTATACTGATCACGTATCCTGCAACCTTACTGAACTCACTTATTTGTTCTAATAGTTTTAGAAGATTCCTTAGCATTTTTTTTAACATTTTTTATTGATTTATAATAATTTTACAATGTTGTGTCAAGTTCCAGTAGAGCTGAATTTTTCAGTTATACATGAACATATATATATTCATTGTCACATTTTTTTCTCTGTGAGCTAACATACGATTTTGTATATATTTCCCTGTGCTATACAGTATAATCCTGTTTATCTATTCTACAATTTAAAATCCGAGTCTATCCCTTCCCACCCCCTGCCCCCTTGGCAACTACAAGTTTGTATTCTATGTCTGTGAGTCTGTTTCTGTTTTGTATTTATGTTTTGTTTGTTTGTTTTTGTTTTTTTAAAATTCTGTATCATTTTTATATATAAGATCATGTCCTTTGTGAATATAGTTTTACTTCTTTCTTTCCAAGCTGTTCTTACCATTTAACTGTTTTGTGTTTTGTTCTTGTTATTCCTTTCTGCCCCCTTCCTCTTGGATTATTTGTTTTTTTTAGATTTTATTTTAATTCTCCTGTTGAATTTATAGTTTTTTTAAAATTGAGGTGTAATTGAAATACTGTATTATTTTCAGGTGTACAACATAGTGATTTGATACTTGTATATACTGTGAAATGATGACAACAGTAACATCCATCCCTATACATAGTAGTTATTACATTTTGTATAGGGTTGCCCTATAGACCATAATTACATTTATAACTTTCACAGTGTGGTTATCCTTCTATAACTATATAGTCATATAGTTGTACGACTATGTGGTTATATAGTTCTATAGCTCTAGTTATAATGTTTCACTTAAAAGATAGAAATTTTGTAACCTTATAAACTCATTTCTCTTAATCCTTTATAATTGTCATACATGATACATCATTATATTAAAACTTCATAAAACAGTGTTGTTATATTCTTAGTTTATACTAAGTTGATGACTCAGGATGAGGGCTAGCTATGTCAGAATGACCAGCCATGTGATTAGAGGGTTATGTTTTTGAGCCATGTGATATTAACTTGACCTCTGGGAAGCAGAGGGGAGCCAGATACTGAGTTCAGTCACATGGCCAATGATTCAATCAATTGCACTTACATAATGAAACCTTTAAAAAAATATGGACTCTGAAGCTTGGATGAGCTTTTCTGGTAGGCAAGACACTGCATATTGTCACACACTGATGTGCTGAGAAGGTGGTAGATCCTGATTTCATGGGGAGAGGACAAGAAAACTTCATATTTGGGACCCTCCCCGCCTTGACCCAATCTTACTCATGTCTTCTTTTGGCTGGTTCTGATTTATATCTTTTTTTTTAAATATGGTAAAGCTGTCATCATAAATATAGTGCTTTCCTGAGTTCTGTGAGTTGTTCTACTGAATTATTAAACCTGAAGAGTTAGTGGGAACCCCCAGATTTGTAGTGAGCTGTTCAGAAGTGTGTGTGCTTGGAGATCCCTGAAATTGTGTCTGAAGTGAGGGCAGTCTTTTGGAGGATTGTGTCCTAAACCTGTGAAGTTTGGCTCAACTTGAGTAGTTGGTGTTAGAAGTCAGTGCAACATTTCTAATAACTTGAGGGATGCTGAATATTGTGAAGGCTACATTGTTACTTGTCTGTATGTAATTGCCTTCCTTTAAAGAGGGTTGAGGTTTGTTAACTTACTTGTGAATCATCTTGATCTTTTGGGGGGATTGATTTAGCATTTTGTTAGGAAGGTGGTCTTCACTCTAAAAACAAATGATTCCTACCACTAAAGCATGACATCCAGGTAGAGTTGTCCAGCAGGGAGGAAATGCAGATCGGAAGTTCCTGTCTTTGCTGGAGATCTAGATTTGGGTGTCCTCAACTAGCGGGTAGTAAGTGAAGAATCTCAGACTGGATTTGTAAAGCCAGTGCAAACACAGCTCTAGGGAGCTGAGAGCTTACCCTGGTTACCATGGAGAGTGCTTCAGTGGTATGGGTGGTCCCTGCATGGTGATCAGTTGAAAACTGAAGCATGATTACAATTTAATTTTTAACCTAACAGGGAGGTGATAAATACCTCTTCAGCAAGCATAGGGTGCACTGTCACACTAATGTATCACCATACATCACCGTGTTCTAGGAATCAGGAAACACCCTGCAAAGTGGACAGATGAAAACAGTGCGTACCTTTCATTGGAACAGCTGGTAGGACAGGGCAGGGGTAGACAGAGGCATACTGAGTGAGTCTCCTGAAAGGCAGTGAGTAGGAGCTAAGGGTGAAGGTTGTAGAAAGTGCCTTTGAAAGGAAGAAGAGGGAGAAAGGGAAAGACTAGGGTGGAGCCTGAAGTAGGGACAAGAGGAGAAAATTAATAGGGATAAAGCAATTGAGAGAGTTGGTACAAAAAGATGAAGAGTGAAGTAAACAGTAGGCGGCAAGAGGCCAATCTGAGAGGAGGAAGCCAGGTCAGAGAAAGAAGGAAGAGAAAAAAAAAGAGGGGTACAAAACAAAAGAAGAAGGCAGTCAAGGAAGTCTGAATACTGAATCAGAGAAGGGAAGAGGAAATAGATAATGAACCAGGGAGTGAAGAATGAGAGAAAGGCGGCAAGTAGAAGGGGAGAGAGAAAGAACCGCATCTAGGTGTTCTGAGTGCAACTGCACTTCCAGTGGCGCCCTCATGGAACACTCACCTGCTCCGGGAGATGGGAAAGGGCATCCTGCAGCAAAAGTCCTAGACGTTAGCCTGAGTCTGGGTCAGCTCCAGGGCTCCCAGAAAAGAGGAGAGGCCAGGGTGGATCGACAGGATCACTATGCGCCTCTTTAACAGACGCAGGGGCGACCCAGGGATGCAGAGGGGTCCCGGAGGAACTAGGGCCCGGGAGAGGCTGGTACCTGCTTGGGAGCGAGATAGTGTGGAGAGGGCACTGAAGCTAAAAGTGGCCAAGAAGCAGGGCGCCCCAAATCAGAAGGCCTGGCGGAAGTGAGAAGTGCCTGGATGCTGAGCCCAGGATCAAAGGAAGGTTGCAGGGCTGGGTGGAAGCCAGCAGGGAGTGCAGGAGTGTAGGGAACCAGATGGGGTGGGGAAATCCTGGCTTGGGATGGTCTGAGGGTGGGGGCTGCGTGGCGACCACACAGAGTGTGTGTTAGGGCAGGATAACAACCCTGGCTAAATCGTCCCTGTGGTTTTCTATTTCCTAGTCTCAGAAGTTGCAGCATCAGAGGTTGATGGCTGAAAAAAAATATATCTGCGAAGGGCAGTTAAAGGAGGAGAACAGTGGCAGGTGACGGAGAGGGCGGGAGTGCAGGCGAAGGCACGAATATGGGCTAATGGAAGGGCTTCACGAAAGCCTTCGTCCACTCTCCTCCCTGGCTGTTTTTGCTAAGTGCCAGCCCTGCGAAAGGGGCATCGGTGCTGGGTCGAGCCAGGGCGGGCTGGCTGTGCTGAGATAGGAGGCAAGATGGAGGGGCGGGAGCCAAGGCCGAAGGGGCGGACACGGGGTGGCGTCTAGCTTTCCATAAAGGGGCCGTGGGGGCCGCGCTCTTCTCTGCGCGGGCGGTGGCCTCAGGCGGGGAACACGGCGCGATGCCTGTTCTATGCCAGCAGAGCCCAGTGCTGGCAGGCAGCGCCGCTTTGGCTGCCCTGGGGTTGCTGGTCCTGTACCTCGCAGAGCCCTCTGGTTACGGGAAGCACTCGGAGACCCTGATGCCCGCGGCTATCCGGCTGCCGGCCCGCGCCGCCTGGTTCCTGCAGGAGCTGCCCTCCTTCGTGGTACCCGCGGGGATCCTCGCTGGGCAGCCTCGCTCTGTTTTCGGCCCGCCTGCGACTGTGCTTCTGGGCCTCTTCTGCGCACATTACTTCCACAGGTAGCGTTTTCCCCTGCGGGTGCCAAGGGAGGCGCACTGCCAGGCTCCCGGTATCCAAGAGCGCAGCTCCAGCGCGCACAGAGGCTCGCAGAGTGGCTTGCACGGGCTGCTGCAAGGAGCGCAGAGTGCCGCGCGGGAAGCACCTGGCGGGGCGGGGACTGCGGGAGGAACGCGGGCAAGTGGAGAGGCGATCGTGGGCAGACACCGCCTTCACTCTCCACAGCAGGTGCGCGTCTTGGGTCCACTTTAAATCCTCTGACGGCTCAAGGTGAAAGAGGTAGAGCCGGGTGGTAGACGAGCTGGAAAGCTCAGACGGTTGAGGCAGAGCTGTTGGCCCAGACGGTTCCCTCTCCAACTCTGCTCGGTCCAGCGTCACTTGGTGTCTCGCTCATCACCCTTTCTCTTTCTTCCTTCACGTTTTTTACTCTCCCAGGGTTGTGGGCGGGCTGGTTCTGGGATCTTGAGGGAGTCTTAAGTATTGGCATGTCCCAAAGGGAACTCGGCACAGAGGGATTGGATCAATTTATTTTGGCAGGGAGATGGGCAGAGCCAGATCGCAGGCTTCAAGGTGGGAAAGAGGACGTAAGGGGAACCCACTGGCCTGAGCAAAAGCCTCATTTCTCAAGGCCCACCGGAAAGGGACTGCGCTCACCACCAACTCCTTTCAAGTTTCCGTGGCACATAGGTGTGAATGGGTTGAAGTTAACCCAGAGCCCAGATGTGTTGAATAAAACCCCCAAGTTTAGGAAAACTTTGCCTTCAGTTCTGAGAAAAAAAACAAAGGGCTTTCAGGATTTGGAGAATGCTCAAAAAGACTCATAGAGGAAGGAAAGAGCACATGATTCAGTTGCCTATCATACCCAGTCATTTAGTATCTGTTGTCCCATGTAGCCCCATTGTAACTTGTGAGATGCGTATTTATTGTGCCCACTTTATAGGCAAAGAAACTGAGGCTGTGTAAGGTTAAGTGACTCAGTGAAGATGATACAGCTAGTACCCAGCCAGATTCAAATCTAAGCCTGTGAAACTCCATGGTTCAAGACCTTTTCACTTTGTTAAGCAGGCAGATACTCTGAATCCATGGAGAGAGAAAAGTTGCCAAACCAAATCAAGAACTGGAACAGAATCACAGCCTAATTTTGAGTAGGGAATTTATAAGGCCAAAAACAATCAAGGAAATCTAGATTAGAAATTAGGATGAAGAATTCATCTGGAAGCTGAAAGGCATGATCCTCTCTGGTAAGGGAAAAGTGTTGCCTCATTTTGGGAAAAGGAAGTGTAAAGAAACAAGTTTTAAACTGTCTTTCCTTATAATCCTTTCTTATCCTCTGGATCTTTTTTATCAGTCAAGATTTAATATTTATGCAATTTTAACTGAATTACCACTCTTTTAATAAGAGAATTATTGGCAAGCAATAAGAACTAAAATTTCATAAATAAATGTCCTTTCTGCAGGTATTTACTAACCATTTTACCCAGATTTAGGTGGTTCAGTTTGCACAGAAAGAAAGATGTTGGATACAGGAGATGAGGCCAGCTTTTGTTTTCACTATTTTTGGAAAAGACATTTGACAGAAAAATGTGATTTTATCTGACAATTACTTTTATCTTCTAGTTAACTATTGTCTGATAGCACCATAAACAATATTTTATGAGTTCATTTCATCTTACAGTAATGTAAGTGTTTTCTAACAAGCCTATTAACATAAGTTTTAGACTTGTTTTTAAAGCCAAAAGGTACTTTGCCTCAATAAATTATGATCAGTACATTAAAAAACCGAGAAAGTAATTACTCATAAAATGAATATCAACATACTGTCCATCTTCTTCAGGGGAAAATTTAAAATATGAGTAAAGGATTTAGGAATTGATTCTTCATGAGGGAAAATTCCCCATTGAGAACACAACTCTGGGTGAGTGCATTGTTCCTGAGGCATAAAGATGTGATGTTTGTCCATCATTCCTCTTGTGTAAACTCTTTCTTTGAGGCCATTGGACTATTGAATTTGTTTTCATTTTGAGTGCTTACAAGGGATTGCACTCTTTGCTAAACACTATGTGAGTTATTTACTAATCCTCATGCCAGTCCATTTAGGTAGGCACCATTATTTATCATTCCAATTTTGCAGGTGGGAAACTGGTGCAAGAAAAGGTTAAATAACTTGCCCAAGGTCACACAGTGACAAGGAGCCAGGGTTCAGACTCAGGGAGTTTGAATCCGGATCTCAGGCTCTTAGCTACCATGATAAGCTGTTTTGTATTTCTTCTTGTTGCCTCATTCTTGCCTTTTAAAAACTGTATTTAGGCTTAAATTAATTTTTTTAAATTATAAAAATAGCAAATGTTTACTAAATAAAAAATGGAAAATACAAATTAGAAAAATTCTCATAATTTCAACATCTAAGTATATTGATTGCTAATGTTTTAGAACATTTTCATTAAGGCTTTCATTTTTCTTAGTACATTTTTATACATGCTTGCTCTACTGAATATTTATAGTTCTGCTTGATTACCTTTTATAATAAATATTTTCCCACATTAGCATAGAATCTTTGTAAGTATCATCTTAATGGCTGCTTGTTATTTCATTTCATGTGAAGACAGTAATTTACCTATCCATTAATTTATAATTTTATAATAATTTAAATTAATTTTTAATATAATTTATATTAAATTGGACATTTAAATTTGCCTCTTTTTAGGGCACATTTTGCACCTAAATTCTTTTCAGAAGTCAGGACTATGCTCTTATCAGTATTCCCACAAGTAGTACAAAGGTTATGAGCAATTTTGCTTTGAGGTTTTATGAGTCATTTGGCTTGACAGTGAGGGCTCGACAAGGAAAAAGCATCAGGCTGCCTTGGCTGTATTCATGTGCATAGCCATGACACAGAGTATAAGATGGAGGGACAAGTGTTCTGGAGAACGCTGGCTCAGCTGTGACCAAGACTCTTTTGAACAATGTCCTTTGGGAACTGTTCAGAAAAGCAAGATATCCCATTGGATAGAAGGGAAAACTCTGCAATTTTCTGCATATGAGGGTGATATGCTAGAATGTGAGTTTCACAAGGATTTTTGTCTCATTTGTTCATGGCTGTGTCCTTGGTGTCTAGAAAAGTTCTGGTACATAGTTGGTATTTGTTGAATGCATGAATAAACTCTACTTCTGACATCAGTATAGGCAGTCAGAATTATCAGAGAACTTGCCATTACTTAGGAATCATTGCTGAGATTGCATGGTTAGGTCAACTCAGATCATTCTCTTCCTTTTAGAATCTATTGTTGTGGATATTTGGATGGTTTAGCTACATAGAGATGAATGCTGTGTAAGCATGCTGCTTAATCCCACAGCTAAAGTTGTTTGAAGTCAGTTATCTCGCCTCTCATTGACTTTGACTAGCTCTGGAATCATCCTTTGCCAACACTCTCTGATTGATCATTTTCTCAAGAAGCCTTAGTGTCTTTCTTATGCAACGGTCATCACACCGCCTATTCCTATGGCAACTGATTTTTTTTTCCAAAACCTGGGTGTGTGACCTTCATATTTGGATGAAAAATAAAAATAAAAATCTCTTTTCAAAAAAGGTGACTATATTGTAACAAGTTGCTGACAGTGTGAACTTCCATGATGCACATCCATAAGCAGAGTGTAATGCACACATTAGAGTCTGAATTTAGAGAGAATTCTTCTGGCATTTAGATATTGAAAATGGTGACATTTCCTATTCAACCAAATAAAATGATGGTTTCAATAAGGGGCCTTTTTGCTTGATGCTCAGTTTGTTCTCCAGCAGCATAAAGTCTTCCCCATTCTTCAAGACTCAGATCAGGCATCACTTCCTCCAAGAAGCCTTCTCTGAGTCCTTTCTCCTTTGTAAATCTAGGTGTGGTATCATACCTTGGGCTTTCATAGCAGCCATTGTGGCCTTCCACGAGGCACTTCACACACTGGATCATAATTCTCTGTTTTAAGGAAATTTCATCCTCATCTGTCCAGACTCCTCATTTTATAGAAGCAAAGCACCAGAAGGTTTAGTTAGTTAGGGGCAAAGACAGGACTGGAACTTGTGTCTCCTGATGTGTCCTGCCAAGGCTTCCCCAATCTCTTAAGAAATGTAGATGTCTCAAATAATCAGAAATAAATAAACCTCATGAAGGAAATTGCTCATTGGCTGAGAATCAGAATGATGATTAATGCAGACATTGGAAACCATCTAGACAAAACTCTCCTCTTATACATTGAGAAGAAAGGCCCAGGCAGAATAAACTGAATTCTTGTGGTCACTTAATCATGTGTTAAGGACATTCATGAGGCATAATTTGGGTCAATCAAGATTAACTGAAGGATTTTTTAAAATGGGGGTCAGCAAACAGTAAAAAAAGCAAGATAGTAACTATTTTAGACTCTGTAGTCATACAGTCTCTGCATAGTTACTTAACTATACTTAACAGCATGAAAACAGCCACAGACAATATGTACACAATGAGTGTGGTAATGTTCCAATAAAACTTTATTTATAAAAATAGGCCATTGGGTGTATTTGCCTGTGTCATAGTTTGCTAACCCCCTCCTTAAGAAAACCATGAACTGCATTATCTTTCAATTCAGCACCCTGGTAATTCTATTATAAAATTTTGTTAAATCCTATAGCAAAGCAGTGAGCATATTCTAGAAGAATTCTGCTACATTTAAATAGGAATTCAGTAGTAAACCTAATTTTCTAAGAATTCCTGAGTTCCAAGTCCTTTTATTTGAAACTTTATAGGAAATAGTAGGAGTCTTGGAGTTTACATTCTAGATAGAATGACATCATGAACACATCTGAAAATTACACAGCCATGTTTGCCAACAATGTAAACAAGCATTAGAGATCTTGACCACTTTTACCACATTGAAGAAAGGACTAACTTCTTTCTCATTTTAAATCTAACTTAATGTCACTTAAAAAGCACAAACAAGATAAGGAAACAGTAATCCAAATTGGTGAAGTGATGTGTAT